TGGGAGTTAGTCTGAAATGTGTGAGGGAAGAAGGGGACTGACTACAGGCTAAAGTGAAGCTATAGAGTTGGTTGTATGGGGGCAGTGTTCTTTTAATTTCTCTACTAACCTTACTCCTAATTTCTTGCCCTCAGGGTAATTATGTGCTGGATCGAGATGAGCTGGTAGAGGCCCAGTCACCCGAGTATGATGTGGTGCTCTGCCTCAGCCTCACCAAGTGGGTGCATCTGAACTGGGGAGACGAAGGGCTAAAGCGCATGTTTCGCCGGATCTACCGCCACCTACGCCCTGGGGGTATCCTGGTTCTGGAGCCCCAACCCTGGTCAACCTATTGCAAGAGAAAGACTCTCACGGTGAGTTGGGTCTTGGTGGAAATGGGGAATCATTCTTTTGGTTGAGACAAGACCTCAAGAAAGCAGGAAGGGGACATTCTGAACAAGGTGGTGGTGGGGGGGGAACCTTAGTAGGCATCATTCTTGGCCCAGGGAGGAGACAGCAAGCTAAAGTGACTCTTACCTTTCTCCCTAGGAAACAATTTATAAGAATTACTATCGAATCCAGCTGAAGCCTGAACAATTCAGTTCCTACCTGACATCCCCAGAGGTGGGATTCTCCAGTTATGAGCTTGTGGCCACACCTCACAATACCGCCAAAGGTAAGGCTGCCTTGGTTTGTCTGGGGAGGTGTGCTGGCTAAGAGGGTGCAGCACCTTTGGAGAGTCCTGAGGTCCTGCCAGCACCTCCTGATTATACTCTTCCCTCAGGCTTCCAGCGTCCTGTGTACCTGTTCCACAAAGGCCGTTCCCCCAGCCACTAAGTGGCCCCCAAGCAGAAAGTATGAAGAGGCTGTGCACACTGCTGCTCCTGACCTGGGGGAAGAGGAAAGTATCCCAAGGTCTTTCTGACTACAAAAATAGTTCCCTTTCTTGGATCTGCAAAGAAAGCTTTTCTTCTGTTGCTGCCCCAGCCTCCTCCCTATACCTCTGGCATTTAAGCAACAAGCCCAGCTGTGCTGGAGTTACCATCATCTTCCTCTCCCCCAGCCTGTTGGGCTGGATGGCATGGACTGTTTGCTGACCTCTGTTTTCCTAGGGTGTGGGAGGTGGGGGGTATCAAATTCTCTAGCCCTTTCCTCCTGTTCTCCCATGGAGATTCCCATTTCTCCTTGGCCCTTGGCCCTAGCTGCATTTCAGTGGACCACAGGTAGATGGACTGAGGAGGGGGAAGTATGGCAGGGAGGCAGGCAGGTACTGTGAAAATCCTTTCCACTGCTGTCCCCCATGGATGGGGGCGGGGGTTGGGTTTTGAATGTGAGAACAGCACAATAAACTTGATGTCTAGGGCAGTGGCCCCACACCTGTGTCTGGTGCTTTCTAGCTGGCAAGGGAGGAATAGTGCCCCCAGAACAACCTGTGCTTCCTCTGTGCCCGTACTTAAAAGTCTCAAGGAAAAGGGTAAGTTTTTCAGTGGATGAGAAGGTTGACTGCTAAGTCTTCACATAGGTATACAGAGCCCTAGTCAAGAAAGGGGTGTAATGCAAACTTGATGTGAAACTTCCCTCTCAAAAAACACTGTTGAAAAAAAATTTTGGGTGGGGGTGAAGAGTTTTGGACAGAAGGCTAACTTTGGAAGAATTAGGAGTGGAATTGAAGTGGAGTTAGGAAAAGGTACTTTGGACATTCCCTAGAACTAAACATCCACTGTTTTTTGTGGACCAGCTGTGGAAGGAGACTTATGAGCAGTTGATAACATGAAGCTCTTCAGTGGCTTGTCAAGTGTTAGTGGCACTTTGAACATTCATTCAACAGATATTGAGCACTCTTGGGCTAGGGGTAAAGATGAACAAAGCGCTTAAAGAGCAAAGCAAATAGGTTCAGTAATTCAGTGCAAGCAGATGCTTTGCAGACTCCTTGAGACAGATAATCAGAAGGCTTCCAAGAAGCATAATAGCCTGACACCCACATTTGAAATGGTCAGAGTTCAGTGCCATAAAGGAATCAGGTTGTTTTCATCAAAACAGAAAGGTGGTGGTTGTCACTGAAGCCAGGGAAAGCAGCATAGAGTAGTGAGTGAGGCAAGGGTATGTAAACTCCTGATTTGAAAATGTTTTCCACTTGCCATCACTTTCTCCTAAAAAGGCGGCCAAGAACTTGACTTCCAGGCAGCTTCTACCCTGGGGGAAATGGACAAAATCCTGAAGGAGTCTGGCAGCCCTATCTAAGGTCTCCCCAAGAGAATCCTATTTGTTAGCAAAACCAGTTTATTCTCAAAGAGTTTTAACATACAAAAATGTAAAGTAACAGTCCAGAGGTCTAAGCTTCCCATCGCCTCAGTGTCCGATGCATGAGGAAGGTATCCTCTGAAGGGCGGGGCTGGAGTTGAAGCCGGAGAGGGGGCAGCCCTTCCAGGGTGAGGTGTGGAGATTCATAAAGTAGCGTTTCGGGGTCACACAAGATGGTCATGTCTGGCCCTGGCCCAGGTGGCTCCTGTTGGAGTTGGGGCCCAATATAAGGTTACACCCTGGAAAGGGGAAGCATCCACCACGAGGAAGGGGTTGGGACAAGGTGAGTAAGCCCGAGGCCCAGTCGCTTCACCTTTGGGGGCGGGGCTCGGGCCTGGGAAGGCAGGAGCGCCAATTTCTCTCTGAGCGCAGCGTTCAGAACCTGTTCCTCTGGCACCTGCAGGCTCACCAGGTCCCGGAAGAGCCGCTTGGAGCGCGGCACATTCAGCCCTGAAACCGCAAGGGAAGAGGAGCTCAGTGGCGCCCCTCACCCCCACTCCCGTGCCCCGCCAGCCGCCAGCACCCCTCACCCTCGGCCACGCTCTCCTCCAGACCACAACGGATCTGGAACGACTTTCTCAGTTGTTCCTCCACCGCCTTCACTGCATCAAACTGGCCCCCTACTGCGGCCCGCGCGGCCTGCAGCTCTAGGCTCAAAGCCAAGCTGCTCTGCAGCGAGGGCGCCTCCAGCTCCTGCAGCACCGCGGGTTTGTCGTTTGGTGCCGCCGCTGCTGGCAGCGGTTCGGACCGGACGGGAGAGGGCGGCGCCAGGCAGAAACGGACCTGGGAGCAGAGAGCAAGACAGTCAAGAGATGGACGCCGGTCGTCTGTCGGCTGGGGGCCAGACCACCCCCCAGCACACCTGCCGCCCCTTCCGAGCTCCTACCGGCCTCTCTGCCCGCCCCTTCCGCCGCCCGAGCCTGCCATTCCGCGGCTCTGGACTCTCCGGCCGAGGGCTCAGGCTCAGGTCCAGGCCAGGCTCGGGCACTGGGACTCGGGACTCGGGGGCTCGAGGTTCTGGGGGTGGCCCTGGGACTGCGACGGTCTCCTCCCCTTCCACCGACTCCAGTTCTGCCTCCCCACCGCCCATCATCTTAGAATTGCTGCAGGGGTGCAGGGTCGCTAGCCGGCCAAGAGTTACCAAACACACCCTCGCCACCTCCCCCTCCCCTTCTCTCCCGCCCCTCCCCGACACCGCTACCGGAAACCGTTAGGCCTTGCCCAGGGGCGGGGCTGGCGAGGAATAAGTCCCCGCCCCGCCCTTTGGCGCTTCTATAGCGTCATTTCCTTTGCCCCGCCCCAGTTTCCCAGCAGGCTTCTGTCCGTACAACGCTGACAGCGCCCCTAAGCGAGCGTTTTAGAGCCAAATCCTGAGGAAGCACTACGGGTACTCGTCGGAACCATTTCTCGTTTTGAAAACGGCGTTGGCGTTGTTGCCCGGCCAAATCATCACACTTGTTCTGGGTTCCGGTGTGTGTCGGTCCTTGCACTTGGGTTGTCCAATGGGAAAGCTTAACTTACCGTTTCAGTGCTCCCTCATCTAGACCTGCCCACTGCGTGTCCTCCAGAGCATGTCCGGGTATTCGGTCACCTCAGACTCCAGACGAGCTTCCCTGGAGGAGTGGGGGCGGGGTTCTTCGTGGGACTTACCCGTCCTTACAGCCTTTTGTGACTTCTTTTTCCTTTCAAGGTTTCCTAATATATTAATCTATTTAAAAATAGTTGTCTGGGGGCCAGCCGGTGACGTGGTAGAGGTGCTGGACTCCCACAAGGCCAACAACTCTTGGACCTGGCTGCTTGCTTGCTTTCCCTCTGTCTCTCCGTCTCTCTCCAAATTAAAAATTAATAATAATAAATAACATTTAATACATATTTCTTTTAAAATAAGTAAAAGTCGTTGTAAACTGAATACAGGGGTTTTTTTTTTGAGAGAGATTTTTGCCATAAGGCGCCTGCAGTCGGCCAGAGAGAGACACATAAAGCAAGAAATCACCTCCCATGGGAAATGGACAAGCCACAGTACCTTCTCTGTTCTCCTCCTTGGGTATTTACACACACAGGCACCCAGCATGAGTTTCAAGCCACCAGGTCCAAAACTCAAACTGCCATTGGGCATGTCAAAGTTGAGCAAGTAACTGCTACACCATCTACTGGTAGGGGAGTGATTTCTCACTTTCACTGTGCATGTGTGTGTGTGTACCTCTTCCCAAGCACATGTGCCCTAAGGCAAAAATCTCTTTTTAAATAATTATTTACCTTATTTTATTTATTCATTCATTTATTTTAATTTGACCAGAGAGAAAGTGAGAAAGCAAGATGCCAGGTCCAGGACTTGAACTGCCTTTGATTATGTGGAAGTCCAGCAACATAACCATTACAGTTTCTGCTGGTCCCTTGCTTTGTATTTTTTTAAAGGAGAGTAAGAAGGCCTGCCAGTGGTGTGGTGATTAAGTGGCTGGATGTCACATGGTTAACTGAGCAGTTCAAATTGAAAAAACATGCCAGGGGCAAGTGCATGTGTGTCCAAGATCCTGAGAAGAGAATAGAGGAGAAAGGATTGTAGCATGGCCATCCCCTTTTGGGGGTGCTTTTACACTTTTCTACTCTCAATTTCTCTCTCCTACAACCACATATGCCCTATAGCAAATGAAGGAAAAAAAAAAAAAAACAGGGTGAGGCAGCTTTGGCACACAGGAAACACAGGAACATCTGGAGCTGAAACTCAAAAGTCTCCCCTCCCCACCCCCAGCTAGCGATAGTGTGGTGGTAGGGGCACTGAGCTTCTATATGGCCAACTGCAGTTCAAGTACTGGACCTGGTGGGTGGGTGTAAGTGCATGCCCAAAATCCCAAGATGAAAATGCAAGAGAAGGGATTGTAGTATGTCCATCCCCCATGGGGGGGATTCTCACTTTTCCTTTCTCTGTCTCTCTCTGGCAAGTGCAGATACACTATGGCAAAAATAAATAAAATAAATAAATAAATAAAATAAATAAAATAAAATAAAATAAATGCCCCGGCGTCTTTTTTTTTTTTTTTTTTTTTTGGGGAATTTTTTACTTAAGGGGGGGTGGGCTCACCAAGTCAGCGACATAGCCATTATGCTAACTGCTGGTCTCCCCCCCAGAGTCTTGACTTTAGTGGAGCTAATGAGTATATAGGCCCTACAGGAACTCATGAACCAGTTAACTCAGTTCCTCAATCTAATCACCGCACCATCTGCTTCACAGAGATGAAAATAAGCCATTCTGTTTGCTTATGCTGTGGACCTCCAGAAAGTGGAAAGTTCACTGATACAAGGGGCCCGCAGTTGGTGTAGTGGTGAAAGGTGCTAGACTCCCACATGACTGACCACAGTTCAAGTCCTGGACCTGGTGGCTTGCTTTTTCACTTTCCCTCTCTCTCTTTCTCTGTCTCTGATCAAACTGGAAAATAATAATAATAAACAAAGTGAAATAAAATAATTATTTTATAAAAAATATGAAGACAAGTGGGTATAAGTAATAAATAAGGGTCTTAGTCCTGTCCATTCTTCTTAGAATTGATTTGGCTGAACCAGACTAGGTCTTCTCGTAGAACCTAGAAGCTCAAAGCAGTGAGGACCTTAGAATTTATGAGAAAACAGATCCAGGGTCACCAGCTGGTAAGTACAAAGCCAGGACCTGGGCCTCTGTGTGTTTCTCCACTATTTGTCACCTTGTAACTACCCCCCACCCTGTCATTAATGCTCCCCAGAGGGGGACCATGCTCCCCAGAGCCCAGCCTAGAACTTGTAGAGAGAGGAAAAATAAATTTCCAATAGAGAGAAGTGCTCTTTTCAGATTTTAAACACTATCCTGATTCTTATAGTTTGAGATTTAATTAATGTAATTTTGTTATAATTTATTTTAAAAATTCATGATAAAGCACATGTTTGCTTGAGAGAGAGAAGCACTCTCAACAGGGCCTGGCCACACTGTAATCCCCCTCCTCCAGTTCTCCAGCCTCCAGATCCTGGGCATTCATCTGCATACCCAGTGAATTTTCAGGCCTACTGGCCTAGGGACTTAAACCATGGTCAGCATGTGACTTCCAGATCTGCTGGGCCCACAATATGGTAATTTTTCACATAGCCCCAGATTTTTTGACACTCCTGGCAGTCCGAAGAGTACTTAATTTACATAACCAAAAGAGACACCTGAGCTCTTTGGGAGGTGCCTGTGGAAGGGGTATCCCCCAGGCTAGCTCCAGCTCCTGAGTGACTGGCCTGTGGGAAGTAGGGCTGATTCAGTAGACACACCTGAGGGTGAAAGGAGAAGCAGCAACAACCCATCTGGTGAAGTTTTTCACATAGGAATAGAATCCAAGGAAGTTAGGTGTAAAAATGGAGAGGCTGGCAGGCTGCAGTGAAGCAGGGGTAGCTCAAAGTTCTGTGATGCTTAAGCCACATGGGAAGGTCCCAGGTTCACATCCAAAGTCTCCCTGTATACACCAGGCTCATGCATGTGTGCTTCTGATTTTGGCTGGCTTATTCTGGGGGTGGATCATGGAGTGAGGACCCTGTTGGAGGTGCCTCTTCCTCAATAAATAAATGAATAAACTTTTTTCTTAAATATGGGCCAAGGCAATTGCTTCTTTGCCTTCTCCCACCCCTTAACCCCGATCTCCCAATGCAGCATGGCTGACCTTGGTTTCAATCCCAGCTCCAGTGCCTATGAACCAGGTGACCTCTGGAATGAGCTATGTGATCTCAAGGATGACCGGTGTGACCCGAGGACCATTTTCTTTCCTCACATGGTCTTCAAGTCCTCATCTGACAACTCGGAAAAGACTCACCACTTGAGGTTGCCAGGGATCAGTTGAGGCCCTCAGAAAGTCATGTCCTGTTTTTCAGGAGCTAACAGAGATCTCAGCAAGTGTGCTTTACCTGTGCCCCTCCCACCCTTGACCCGCCCCTTTCCTCTAACCCTGCAAGTCCTCTGGGACATCCTGTCCAGCTCCCATTTTCTTTATTTCTGCTGCAGATGAGCAAGACATCAGGGATGCTGGGGGACAAAAGCTCCCAGTCTCTGACAGGAGCCTTTGAGGCAGGATGCTCTGCCCTGGTGCTCTGTCCTCCCTGCCTCCCTCCCTACCCCAGCACAAGCCCCCTCCAGTCCCTGCCCCAGGCTCCAGCATAATGAAAAAAGCAGATAATGTAGCAAACAGCCCCAGGTCTCAGGAAATAATCTCACTGGGTAAAAGATTCATGCCTCTCACCTGCCGACTGACACTTGCTATTTGCCAGGGCCTGGGAGTTGGGAAGCAGCGCTGAGAGGCTCCCCGCTCCTGGAGCTCAGTGAGCACTAGAATCCAGGCCAGAATAGGGACCACATGAAAGATGATGCAAAACCCTTGCAACGTGTGCAGATTACATAAACACTGGACAGGCAGGTCAGCCCAGCCTGGAGCCTGGGAAGGCTTCATGGAGGAAGGCCTTGAAGAAGGTAGGAGTTTAAACAGGAGCTCGCTGTTCTCCTCTCTGGACATAGACTAGGCCATCTCTGTCCCAGGTCATTCTGCTCAGCTTTGTCTGCCAGGTACGTGTTGTCCATGCTCCTCTCCAGACCTCCTTTCTGCCTTCCTCTGGGCCTAACCCCATGGCTAGGGCCCACCACTTGGCCTTGACTTACCATGACTCTCTCCTCTGTCTCCCAGTGGCATCCTTCCTGGTTGCCAAATCAGAATTCAGGAGGCCTGGGATCTATTTTTGAGTGTTTTGTTACAGTAATCACAGGAAACTAATATAACTAGGGAAAG